GATTTCTTTAAAGTATAAATAAACAGTGAAAGTCTATTATAAACCATCTTGTTCTTGGGTGCAGTGGAGCCCACCAGTAATCCCAGTGACTCTAGAAATTCTAGTGGCTGGGGAGGCTGAGACAGGAGTATGGCGAGTTCAAAGCCAGCCTCAGCAATAGCGAGGCACTAAGCAACTCAGTGAGACCCTGTCTCTAAGTAAAATACAAAATACAGTTGGGGATGTGGTTCAGTGGTTGAGGGCCCCTGAGCTCAAAAAAAAAGAAAAGAAAAGAAACATCTTGCTAGTCTACAAATTTCACTAAGGGTCAGTTATCTATTGGCTACAATTGATATCCTGAGTCTCAATTTACTGGCCTCTACCATTCACAGACTATACTATGACTGTTGATAACATTGTGACCCTTAGGCATGATGTAGAATATTTATTAAATAGTAAATTCTACTTTCATTTTTACTATCTTGTAACAGGTGAAAAGAAACTTGGTACTGTTATCACTCCAGATACGTGGAAAGATGGTGCAAGGAATACCACAGGTATTTTTTTCTTTTAGAAAATAGAAATTGAATCAAGTACTTCCTATGAATACGTTTTTAGCTTTTACATTATTTGTAATATGAAATGTTATGTGTTTAGTGTATTTAATCTGTTGAACACTAAAGAATACTGAGTCCCTCAATAATTTAATATCTTTTCATTTAGTTCTCTGAGTTATATGTATAGAATAATATAGTAAGCAAGAGATAGCAAAATTATTAAGTGATTTTTCAAATGATGATTTCATCTCAGTTTTGTATTTAATTTCCCCCTTTCACCTAGTTTTTAATAAATTTAAACTGTTTTCATCTTTATTATCATTAAATGCATGTAGTGAAATATATTTTCAAAGAGAAGGAAAAGAAGTACTTTCACTGTATTCAAGGTCTGTGACACCAAAGTAGAAACTTATAGATTCTGCAGTAGACAGAGAAAATGGAGAACCTTCTAAAGTACTACTTTGATTAAGAAATAAAATTATTGCATTTTATATAAGTTTTCAGTTTCCTTAATAGTTGTTTTCTTTTTAAGTAGTGTCTTAAGAACTTGGCTATTAAATAAGTATTTTAAAAATTTAGATATAGGATATTCTATTGATAAGAGGTCAAAGAATGAACTTTTAAATTAATTATTAGATTATTAGATATTATATGTAAAATGCATAGAAATAACTCACTAAAAAATATGTATATTTTGATATAGAAAGTGGTGGAAGAAAGCTGAATGAAAATAAAGCTTTGACTTCAAAAAAAGCAAGGTGGGTAAGAGCATACATAGAGGAGTTGTAAATTTCCATACTCTTTTACTATTAAGCCTATTGAAGTAAATATGTCATCCATCACTCCATTATGGTAAAACAGAGTTAGGGAGTTCTTAGTATCCAGAGACAAGATAGCTGCTCTAACCTGCTAGTTTCACTGTATCTTTACTGTATCAATATATTAAGATATTAGTGCTACTTCCTTTATATAATTTTATCAGAAAATATGACCTTTTTTATCTACTTCTTAATTATCCAAAGATCATAAGAAATAGGGAAATGTGGAAAGATCATAACCTTTTGAGCTAGAACTAAATTTGAGTGTAGGTTCTATCACTGTCCTGCCCTGTGACCTTAAGTTAAACCATTTTCTTAACCTTTCTGAACTTTTACCTTTTTTATTAGAGAATGGGCATAAAAATATCTCCCATCTTTAAAAAAAATTTTTTTTGACACTATGCTTTATTATATCCAATTTTTAAAATTCATGAACTCTTCCAGGTGCCACCATTTGCTTGCTTCAAGTCAGAAGTTTTCAGAGGCCTTATCTAGATACTTTCTGAATATTCTTCAGTTCTATTCTCTCCTACACCCATTCTAGTCATGCTTTCATCCCCACCACAATCTTAAAGTTGCTTATCAGGGTCAGAAGTGACATTTAAAACTAAGAACCATTTAACCATTATTCTTATCTTACTTCATTAACCCATTAAGTCCCAAGTTTTCAATTCTAATTGAATTTCAATTTTAATTGAATATTTCAATTAAATTGACAAGGTGGTTTAAGGTGGTTGGGAATCATAATCTAGCACTTACGTATTCTTTATTGTCATTAAGAACCAAAAGTACATTGTCCTATAAATAGGACATTGAGACAATATAAATATCTTTTTTATATTTATAAAGCATTCTATAACACTTAGAGAAAATATATCTGGTATATGGGACAAAGTGAGTTAATAACTCTTTTCTGGCAACACTTTATTCTCTTGGCTTCTGAAATACCCCATTCTCATGGTTTTCCTCTCAACTCTTGCTGTTCCTTCTCAATTGAGTAACTCAGGACTCAGTATTAATAGTTGTTTCCCCCATTTATAAATTTATAAACTGTCCTAGCATGACTTCAGTTCTTTGGCAACTGCTTACCTGAATCACCTAATTTGATGTGTAACAGAGAGCCTCTTTTTTCTTCAGTCTTATCATAAATTGCCCAATTCAGTCGTTCACGCCTAAAAGCTACTGATATTCCTCCTTTACCCCCAATTTGCATATCCATCAGCAAGTCCTGTGCATCTGCCTCTAAAATATAACTTGAATCTATCTGTTTCTGTCCATTTCACTGTTACTGCACTGTTCCAAACCACTATATTTCTTGCTTGCATACCGAAATAATACTCTAGCTATCATCCTGCCTTTTCTCTCATTTTCTACAGTTGTCTTATAGTAATCATAATGGTCATGTAATTTCTTTGCTTAAAATTCTCTAATCATTTTCTTTTTCATGTAGAATAGAATCTAAGTTCCCTACCATGTTCTTAAAGGGTGTTCCATGATGTGACCTCTCCCTCACTCTGGACTTTCTGTTATACCTCACTCCTCTTCATTTATTATATACCATTCTCATTCGATATTACAAGCCCACTCCCATCTAAAAAGGTTTGTACTGCTGCTCCTTCCTTTGCTCCTTTCTCAAAACTTACATATTTGTTACTTGAGTCAAAGGTGAAATGTCACCTCCTCACAGATGGGTCCGTAATCAGCATCTAAACTAGTCTTTGCTCTTTCCCTACATCTCCACTACAGTATTCTGTTGAATTTTCTTAATAAGAGTCATTACTGCTTGAAAAACACTTGTTTTATTGGATTATCTGTTACTACTTATTATTCATCACTTCCCACTAGCATATCAGTTTGGTGAAAGCAAAGACTTTATTTGCTAAGTGAATAGATATTTTTTGACATTATGCCAAAGATTAGAAATAATAAAAATAATAAAGCTTTTCCTACATACAATATCTGGCACATACTGGGTACTTATTAAATAATTAATACAAAACAATACAGTAGACTTACTCTTCAGTACAGCATCACACTCTGTATAGTTGACCAACTTATTAGTGTGTACTAGGATCAATTTTTCTTGACTTAAGCTATTTGCTTAGATTATATAGTTTTATATACTTTCCTTTATGATCCCAAACTTAACTCTATTATCATTAAAAAGTAGCTATTACTCTTTGGAATGTGTACCTCTATATTGCATTGAATCTACACTAGCATTATTTATGAGGTGCATCATTACTTTAATAAAGAAAAAACACTGCCAAGTAATTGTAAGATTTCAGAGATTAAAATATGTATCTTAGAATTATAAAATACAGTTTTTAAAAAAAGTAATCTCTAGATGTACAGGTCAAAACAAAGAGCTTTTTGAAAATAAGAATGGTGTCTGTCTTCTCTTGTGAGGAGTAAAATAATAATCTTCTGGGTTTGGAAAAGTTAACCTCTGAAAATTAGCTGTTGGGCTGTACCCTAGGAAAAAGCACCAGCATCTAGGACACTGTGTGAGGATTTATAAAAAATCATTTTGTAGTTAGGGAAGCAGTTATAAATCAAAGTATTTCTTGTCAATTTAAGAGGAACTATTTCTTCTAAGGTTATTCTGCACTCTAAATCACTATTTTTATACAGAAGAAGCCTTGTTATCCAAAGGTATTAGGCCAGTTAATTGAAAATGTCAATCAAAGCAGGCAATCATTAAAAGATACCCATATGTTATTGATAAGTTTAGGTGCATGTAACTTATTTATTTATAAGTTACTTATTTATAAGTATAGATGAATTCATCCATCATTTGGTGTTGAGAAAAGACCTTTGGAGTATGATTCTTCTGACAAGTTCTACATTATCTACCTCACATAAGCCATAACCGAATTTTTTTTTTTTTGGTATTTTTAGATTAGAGCAAAAATTGACACTTGGAAAATGTGGAGCCCTTTCACTTACGATTTCCCCCAATTTTAACAGTTGTTTACCCATACCTACTTTCATAGCAGAGTTAATGGTTCATATATATGCAGTCATCCTAAAGTACTTACTTGGTTTTTATGGAATCAGTCACTCCTTTGTATTCATATTTTATCAGTTTTCATAATATTTATGTCACACAAATAGAATGACAAATTTGACAGAACCAAATTTGAAAAACAATACAGCTCTTCCTAAGCATACAGCTTACATAGAAGCAGCAGAGATATTAGTCCATAGTCACCCAGGAGAGGTCTGCCTGTCAGCTATAGAATTTGAGAGAAGAATGGTGAGCATGAATTAATCCTGCATGTTGCTTAAGCAAGTTGAAAGTTTCTATTGTAACATACAATTTTCTTTCTTTAAAATCAAACTCTAGATTTGATCCATATGGAAAGAATAAGTTCTCCACTTGCAGAATTTGTAAAAGTTCTGTGCACCAACCAGGTTCTCATTACTGCCAGGGCTGTGCCTACAAAAAGGGTAAGTTTTTTAAAATACCATTTTTCTATTCCTAACCTACTTCATAACAAAATAGAACTTAAAGCATGTTCATGATTAAAAGTAGATATTTATTTTTCAATTTTCTGATGCTGGTAATTAATATTTTAAGCTTCAGGATTGACGTAAATAATCTATTCAGTTGGTATTATGATTTGATTGCTTATGTGTTTTCTTTTGTTTCAGGCATCTGTGCAATGTGTGGAAAAAAGGTTTTGGATACCAAAAACTACAAGCAAACATCTGTGTAGATGTATTGATGAAGTTACTGGCTTTCTGTGATTTTTCTTTCTGCTTTGAATTTTCAAGGCATAAATAGATGTTCAACTTAAAAATAACCTATTTCAGGACAAATGATTAAGTTTTAGCCAGGAAAGTTGATGAGTATTCATTCTTTTGCTCTCAAAATGTTCTAAACAGCAAAAATGTAACTAATATTTTCCTTTAAGTGGTTATTAAGAGCATTTTTTGAACTAAAGTGGCAAATTTAATGAAAAGGTATTTCTGAGTTCTGTATGCACTTTTTAACTTAACATTGTTTTATCTTATCCCCTCCATCTACTTTTATTTATAGATATTGTAAAAGTGAGGAGATTATTGATACTTTGCCTTGAACTTGGCATCCAGAATGAGAATTCATACCTCATTCCCTTACTGATGGCATAGTTCTTAAGAGTCAGCAATCCCTAATGAATTGCAGTTTCAGAGGATATTTAAATATTTGAGGCCATTATTGCCGAATAGTTCCTTAGTAATTAATTCAGACCCAAATCAAAGACAAGTTGGATTTGTGATTTTAAAAAAATTTGTTTTTGAAGTCAAAGTGCCAGTTCCTTTCATATGAGAACAAGAATACAAGGAGTACCTGTGTGTCCATATGAATACACTGGTTTTCCGAAAACATATTACACATATTAATGGCTTGAATTCAAATTGATATGAAAGCTATGAGAATGGTGTTCATCCATGTTGATGTGTATTGAACACGAATCCCCCTCCTTTGGAAAAGCTCTTTGAAGCAGATAAAAAACTTTCTTTTTTTAACCTCCTTCCCACCCCTCAAAGAAATAAATAGAACAAAGCAAACATCTCGACTCTTTTTTATAATGTAGATAACTTTTTAAAAATTTTTTATTCTAATTTGTTATATATGACAGCAGAATGCATTATAAGTCATATTAAGCACATATAAAGCACAATTTTCCATCTCTCTGGTTGTATACAAAGTATATTCACCCATTTGTGTCTTCATACATGTTCTTAGGATAATGATGTCCATCTCATTTCACCCTCATTTCTACCCCCGTGCCCCCTCCCTTCCCCTCCTACCCCTTTGCCCTATCTAGAGTTTGTCTTATCTTCCCAAGCTCCCCCTGCAACCCCACTATGAATCAGCTTCCTTATATCAGAGAAAACATTCAGCATTTGTTTTTTGGGGATTGATTAACTTCACTTAGCATTACATTCTCCAACTCCATCCATTTACCATGATTTTTTTTCTCTTTTATTGCGGAGTAATATTCCATTGTATATATATATATACCACATTTTCTTTATCCATTCATCTACTGAAGGGCATCTAGGTTCACAGTTTAGCTATTGTGAATTGTGCTGCTATAAATAATGAAGATAAATTGAGAGATTACTTTGAAGTTTCAATAAAGTTCTTCCTTATATTGCCTTCACAAATTCAAAACTTCTCCTTTTAAAATTTGCAACCTACTATAGGTGACCAAAAGGATATTCCCTATTTCCAATAGCAGTATGTATAAATTTGTGTCACTATAAAATATGTAGAATATTGTAGATAACATGATAATTTATATGGTAAAGACATTGCTTTTATTGTCTTAAAATTACTATGAAAAATATTTAAAGTTTTAACTGTATATTATTTTTCAAATAGTATTTTTTAAGATACATTGTTATTTTCCCAGAAAGATTACAAGAATAATGCAAAATAAATGTATCTCTGAAGCAAGAAGTATTCTCCTACGCTTTAATCAATTTGGTATTTTCAATTAAAATCATAGCACAAGGAACTTGTAGTTATACCCAGTCAGAGAGTGTCCCACATCTATTAAAAATTGGATTGTGTGACTTTGAAAAAAAAATTCTCAGGAATTATCTGAGACATGGACTTGTACAACTCATTTTTTTTTTTTTGGATTCTAGGGATTGAACTCAGGTACCATGAGCCACATCCACAGCCCTATTTTGTATTTTATTTAAAGATAGGGTCACTGAGTTCCTTACACCTTGCTTTTTTTCCTGAGGCTGGTTTTGAACTCCCTATCCTTCTGCCTCAGACTCCTGAGCCTTTTATACACACTCCTTGAGTAGCCTCTTTCTTTGGTTCCAGTGGCCAAACCGTGGAGTTTTTTGTTAGTATTATACCTCAAGGCAAAATATGTTATTAAACTTCATATTATCTAAAAAAAATGGTAATGTAACTATTGTAAATTGAATAGAAGTAGCTACTAGATGAGAATGAAAACCCAAAACAATGTGAACATAAAATGTGCTTTTGTAAAAGAAAAACAAGCAAAAATTTTAGAATTAAGGCCAAACATAAATTATCAAGGTAAACATAAAATTGATGAAAGAGCCTATTTTTAAATTCCAATTTATTTATTTTGTGATGCTGGAGATTGAACTCAAGTGTACTCTACCACTGAGCTATATCACCAACCTTTTTTATTTTTTTAGTTTGGAGACAGAATCTTGTTAACTTGCCTAGGCTGGTCACAAGTTGGCAACTTGTGATCTTCCTGCCTCATCCTCCCAAGTAGCTGGGATTACAGGTGTGCCTGGCAGAGCCTATTTTTTTTTTTAAAGTCTCAGATTATATTTTTAAAATACTGGGTACAAATACCAGTGGAATACTTGAGTAAATTTTTATATTCATCAGAATATATAACCACCCAAATGATGGAATTACATGTGTGCAGAAATTTAATGTTTCCCATATTTATCATTTACTCATCATATAAATTTTTTTCCTTGACCCATTGGAGAGCATGCTGCAGACATCATACCCTTTACCTTTTAATACTGCATATGTACTTCATAAGAAGCAGACTATGTCCAATTGGTTTTTGGTTTTCATCTTGGGTTTTTTGTTGTTGTTAGTTTGTTTTGTTCTTTATGTTTTAGTTTTTGGTCCCATGGGCAATTTCTTTTTAGATACAGAACCTAATCCAGGATTGTATGTTGTATTGTCATGACTCTGTAGAACAGTTCCTCAGCCTTTCTCTGTCTTTTCTAATATTGATATTTTTGAAAAATACAGGATAGCTGAAGAGTAGAATTCCTCAGTTGGACTTTTCTGATGTTTCCTCATAGAGTATTATGCAACACCATGGGAATATTGTAAGAGATGTATCCCCTCATGTTTCCAATCCAGAGGCACAGAAGTTCCCTTGGCTCCTTATTGTTGATAGCTAATTTTGGTTACTTGAGTAACATATTGTCCAGTTTCTCCACTGTGTAGTTAACTGTTTTTCCTTTTGCAACTTTTAGGTCATTTGTTAGGAAGAATTTTGAGACTATGTTGATAATTCTATTCCCATCATATCTATCCCTTTTAGATTTAGCATTTTTTGATAATTTTAATCTGAGTAATTTTTACTAGAATGTTTGTAAATTTTTATTTTCCTAACTTTTTGTACTTATTAGTAGTCATTCAGTAAGGAAGATGTTTCCCTTATCTGTCATCAGTTTAGAATAAATGCTTTCTTCTGAACCATTTGAATATTCATTATAGACATAAAATGTCTTCTTCCCCTTAATACTTAAGAGCAAGGATGTTCTCCTTTATAATCATAGTAAAATTACCAAATTGCAATATTAATATCAATGCAATACTTATATCTGATTTTTCCATATTCCACTGTTGTTTCAGTAGTGTTCTTTGTAAGAAAAAAAACAATCTGGTCTGGGATTATACATTACATTTGATTGTCATGTCTCTCGTTTCCTTTAATCTGAAACAGTTATTAACCAGGTTTTCAAAAATGCCAAGATCAAGAAACACTGGGTTTTTCTGATATTTCTTCAAAATCAGATTGAGCTTATGCAGTTGGGGCAGAAGTGACCCTATCCTTTTTACAACATCTTATGGTATTAGTTGTTCTGTTAAAAGTATGTTAATTTTGATAACTTGTTTTAGATGGAATCTACTAGATTTTTCTGTTGTTAAGTTTCTGGTTTTTCTATTATATTAATAAATGTGGGGATATACTTTTAGATGAGAAATATTCTGTATCTCAACAGTTTCACACAATAATTCCAGTGGCATTACTTGGCTGAATTAATTGTTATTCTGATGTTTGTCAAATGGGTTTTCCAAATCTATCATTCTTTCTGTATTTATTAGGTGGCATTCTACTTTAAGGAAAATCCTCCTATTTCTCTCACACATTTATATAGTATAACCTTGTAGATTCCTGTATTCGGTCTGTTACTATAATTTGTTTTGATATCAAATTATTCCAGATTTGGAATAATCTTTTCAAGCAGCTCTTGGGTCTCTTTGACATCTTATTATTCTTAGAGCAACTCCTTACTTTCCAACGCAGGATATTACAGGTTCATCTTTGTTTTCATTTTTTTTTTTCCTCCCACTCCAGCTCTGGAATTAGTTAACATTTCCCCAGTGTCCTTAATTTCCTTTAATGGGGATTGGTGTTTAGAAACTAAGATCTGGATCTCCTTAGTTGTCATTGCTTTTAGGCCCTTTGGTGGAAAGAGCCAGGAAACCTATATATTAGAAATCACAAGTTTTAGTGATACCTCCATTTTCATTCTAGGCCCCCAGGGTTCTTCCTTGCCTTTCCCCATTCCATATTTGTATTGTCTTCCATAGTGAAAACTGGTTCTCAGTGTCATCAATATGGTTACTCATTTGTAGAACTCAATTTTTTTATATTGGATATGTATACAACTTATAATTAAAATTTGTAAGTTTTAAAAAGTATTTGGACAAGCCACAGTAGGGTTCCATGTGGTAATGTCATTTATCAGTCTGTCGTTATAGGAAGAAAGCTTGGGAACTTGTATGCATATGCTGTCTTCTAGATAAATTTAGCAAATTGTGCTAAGTACTTTTTTTTTCCAATTGAGCCAACATTTATTGGACTTCTTTATTTTTATTCCTAGTAAGACTGCTGTTATTGATTCTAAATTTTTTTAAGCAAGTACTTGATATGTAGTGCATCAAATTAATATGAAATTATAAAAGTAATGTGTATCAACAGAAACAAGGAAAATATTTTGAAAGAATACTAACTAGGAGAGACCAATTACAAAGCAACGATTATATTAAAGAGTTAGAAACTGAACGAAGGTAGTCCTGGGAGAATGGAAATAAAGAAGAGATTTGAAAGAAATTCAAAAGATTTGAAAAGACTCAAGATTAACTGGGGGGAAATGAGATGACTGTGAGTCACAGTGGGCCTTATTTAAACATAGCAGTAGTAGGTCTCTCCACTAGATGGCAATGATGCTCTTAGTTTTTAATTTGCCTCTATGGTAAAAAGATTTGTAGTTACAGCAACTTAAAGGTCAAAATGGACTTAAAGTTCTCAATATTACTGTAAATAAGATTGCCAGAGAATTTTGCTTTACAACATTAAAGGTCCAAGAAATATTTACATGTGCATATACATACAGGAAAGAAATACGGGTATATACATACAGATGTACTTCAAAATGTGACTGATTACATTGGCAGAAGTAAAATGGTAACCCTCGGAGGCCAGAAACAAAGAGAAAGTACAAATTTAAAGGGTAAAGTAGCACCAAAGCCAGTGCTTATATTAGGAATGTCCGCTAATACTTGAGGATCTAAACCTATATTTGATTTGATTGCAGTACTGGAAATTGAACCCAGGAGCACTCTTATCACTAAGCCACATCCCCAGTCCTTTTTTATTTTAAGACAAAACCTCATTAAGTTGCCAAAGGCTGACCATGAATTTATGATCCTCCTGCCTAAGCCTCCTGAGTAGCTAGGATTACAAGTATGGGTAATCACTGTGCCTGGAAAAAGCTACATTTTAAAGAGCATCACAGATACTAACCAAAAGAAAGTAAAAAAGGTAGGTTCTAAGATCCTAAGGCATAAAGTGTTACTAAAGGTAAAGATCATTATATGATACAAGGTTCAAGTTTCCAAGAATACAAAATTCTAATGATGATATAGCTTCAAAATATACAAACAAAAAATTGTAATGGAAGATGTTCCACATTGCTTGCAGTAAATTGATAGAACAAGCAGTCAAAAGATGATAATTCAGGAAGATTTAAACAATTAACAAGTTTGATCAAACAGACAGAATATATACCCAGCAAGTATAAGCATTCTTAAACAAACAGGGAACATCTACAAAAAGTAATCATGCATTAAGCCATCAGGTCAAGATTTGATTTTATAGAAAAACTAGTTTTTAACCACAAATATTAAGTTAGAAGTGGATAGCAGAAAGATAATTTTTAAATATTTGGAAATTTCGGACACTTTTAAATAATCAATGATACAAAGAACCATAGGAAATTGAGAAATATTTAGGATCAAATGACAAAATATTTTGTCAAAATTGGTAGAATACAGCAAAAGTGGAATCTAGAGGGAAATATGTAGCTTTAGATATTTATATAGGAAAAGTTAATGAGCTAACCATAAAACTTAGGAAAACGAGAAAATGGGTAGAAAGTAGAAATTAATAAAGAGGATAAATGAATCCTATCTAAAAATTTATTAGAACTCAGTAAAGCAAAAATTTGGTTCTTTAATAAAATTCTTAAACCTCTAGCAAGACTGGTCATGTCAGGAAAGGCCAATTTTATAAATAAATGAAACAATTACAGATGCAATAAAGATAATATGAACTATTTTGTGTTAATATATTTGAAATTTTAGACCAATATAAAAATATGCCAACTGAAACTACTTGAGAATAAATTAAAATTTTGTAAATTCTATTAACATTGAAGAACTTTTTATCAGGCATTGAAGACATACCAGAAGAGAGTGATTTTGCAGGCAAATTGTACCAAAATTCAAATAACAGGTAATTCCCATTACACAACTTTTTCACACAATGAAAAAATGGGAAGATCATTATCACTCATGGCAAAGATGGAAAATATTAGAAAATTAACCCAGCAATGCATAATAGCTAGTAATACATTGTGATCTTCGTGGTTTTAGAAATTCAAGTGTGGCTCACATTTTTTTATTGTTCTTTTTTATTTATACATGACAGTAGAATCCATTTTGTTATATATATCCTATTCTAATTAGGATCCCATTCTTATAGATGTATATGATGTGAGATTCACTGTAGTGTATTCATATATAAAAATAGAAAAAAATATGTCAGATTCATTCCATTGCCTTACCTTTTCCTATCCCACCTCCCTTCCCTTCATTCTCCTTTGTCTAATCTACTGAACTTCTATTCTGCCATTCCCCCTTTTGTGGATTAGTTTCCACATATCGCAGAAAACATTTGACCTTTGATTTTTTGGATTGGCTTATTTCATTTAACATGAGTCTCCAGATCTATCCATTTACTGGCAAATGTCATAAAGTCCTTCTTGATGTGTATATATATACCACATTTTCTTTACTCATTCATCCATGAGTTGAAGGCACCTAGGTTGGTTCCCATAGTTTAGCTATTGTGAATTGTGCTGCTATAAATATTGATGTGGCTGCATCACTGTAGTATTCTTATTTTAGATCTTTTGGATATACACCAAGGAGTGGGATAGCTGGAATTACCTGTTATTTGAATTTTGGTACAATTTGCCTGCAAAATCACTCTATTCTGGTATGTCTCCAATGCCTGATAAAAAGTTCTTCAATGATAATAGAATTTACAAAATTTTAATTTATTCTCAAGTAGTTTCAGTTGGCATATTTTTATATTGGTCTAAATTTTCAAATATATTAACACAAAATAGTTCAAATGGTGATTCCATTCCTAGTTTTTTGATAAATCTACATACTGCTTTCCAGAGTAGTTGCATCAATTTGCAATCCTACCAAGGAGTATACCTTTTCCCCTTATCCTCACCAACATTTATTGTTACTTGTAATCTTGATAATTGCCATTCTGACTAGAGTCAGATAAAATCTCAGGGTAGCTTTAATTTGCATTTCCCTAATTGCTAGAGATGTTGAACATTTTTTTCATGTATTTGTTAGCCATTAATATTTCTTCTTTTGAGAAGTGTCTGTTGAAATCCGTTGCCCATTTGTTGATTGAGTTATTTGCCTTGGTGTTTTTTTTTTGTTGTTGTTGTTTGTTTGTTTGTTTTTGTGTGTGTGTTAAGTGTTTTGAGTTCTTTGCTTGTCTTGGAAATTAACACCCTATCTGAGATGCAAGTGGCAAAGATTTTTCTCCTATTCTATAGGCTTTCTCTTCACACTCTTGATTGTTTCCTTTGCTGTGAAGAAGCTTTTTAGTTCGATGCCATCTCTTTTATTGATTTTTTCAATTTTACTTCTTGCAGTTTTAGAATTTTGCTAAGAAAATCAAGTTCCTGAGCCAGTATGTTGGAGTGTTTTGGCCCACATTTTAAAAATCTATTAAATTAACCACATTAACAAATTATAGGACAACTACATGGCCATCTCAAAAAGTGCAAAAAAACTCATTTAATAAAATTCACCAATTAATCATAAGGGAAACTATTAGAAAACTACAATAGAAAGACATTCTTTAACCTAAGGTATGGACCTTCTAGGATCCCTACTAATGGCCCTGATAGATCAATGAGGATTCTTTTCTACTCTGCAGTTATTTGAACAGGTATTTATCCTATGTGAGATCTGGGCACTCCTTTGCTCACAGCTCACCTTTTGTTCTTCTTCAGCCTTATGAACTCATATGCTACACGTGTATAGCCTAGTATTCAGCAAAGATAAAAGAATGTTTCTTTGAAAGGTTTCTGGAACTCTTTTTTTCTGTATAGTTGTACCCTCCGCAAAACTCTGCCCTACATCTTCTGTCTCACACTGCCTGAAGTCCAGTCTTTTTCTTGACTTAGTAAGATTGATAGAATCTGCCTGGATATGGAATGTGCCTCCAGGACACACCCTCTTAGGAATAACAGTCCTGTGCTGCCCTTTGTCTAATACGAAAACCAATTTTCTAAATTTTGCCCAGTTTTCCAGTTGTTTACAGCAGGAAAGTAAATCTGATCCCTAGTATCATGGTCACAAGTGAAAGTTTATTACAGATGGACTAAGACTTATGACAGATTCTCATCTCAATAAACCCATTGTAAGTTGAATATATTGTAAATCAAAAATGCATATAATACCTAATCTCCAAACATCACAGTTTGGCAACACAGTAAACTGAAATGTTGGTTGTTCATTCTTGTGATCTCATAACTGACTGGTAGCTCCAGCTTGATTCTCAGCTATATGATCATTTTTTTGTTGTCTGCTTACTCTTAATAGAGCAGGGACACTGTTGGATTGTTTGGCAACTCTGCTTATACTGGTGGGCCAGTTGACCATGGGTTTAATGTAAGGCAGAGTTTCTCTAATGACACTTTTGACTGGATAACTCTTTGTTGAAGGAAACTTTCCTTGTGCACTATAGGATGTTCAGTAGCATCCTTGACTTCTATGTGCTAGATGCCAGTAGCACATCCCATGCCATTGGTAACCCCAGCCCCTGGGTTTGTGGTAATTCAACATGTCTCTAGAGATTGCCATAAGCCTTCAGCTGAGAATTGCTGATGTAGGATGATCTGTCTGGGATGTTCATGAGTGGACTCTTAAATTTTATATCTAGGTATTCCCCATCGGATAGTCCTCTAATTTCTCTTGCCTGAAGGATTAAGTGGAAGAAGAGAGCAGGGAGTCTTTAAATACCCTCACCTGTGCCTCGTGCTCCTTCATCTCGAAGCTATCTATTTTCCTCTCAGTAGCCTTCACCTCAAGACTTTGATGAGTGTGGGAGAGACAATCAACCAGTGGTAAGGAATGGGGTGAAAGAAGAAATCCAAGAATTCACATGACTCTCACAGATCTTTCATTTAATTGGTCTTCCTAAGTCAACATTCCCAATTCACAGTACTTCCAGAGGTGCCATCAGTTCTTGGGCCTGTTGAAGATTCTAAATTTTTTTCCTATATTAATGTCACTTTATGATGACTCTTCAGGTCTGCCAACTGTTACCAGGTGTCTCTGCTTTCCATCCTCCAAAATTTGGCTCCTTTGATATCTTCTTTAACTTTCTTTATCCGTAGGGTTCATGGCACTTTCCCTCAAAATAGCTTTGATGTAATTATAGAGGGAAAAGTTAAGAAAGATCAAAATTAGACATGTTTTATTCTGTTAATTTTTTCTAGAAGCTTCCGTTTCTTGCACTTTTGATAATTTCATCACGTTCCTAATGGTTACCAGTTATTTGGGGAAGTTGGTTGTTCAGGCGAAAGGGACAGCTCTAACCTATTTTCTTCCCACCTTTCCTTGTGCCTTGCTGGGGCTAGAGCTCGGTGGTAGAACATGGGTTCCCCAAGCCCTGAGGTCAATCCCCAACATAAAAAAAAAAGACTTAGTTGTAGCCACCAACCAACCAAGTCATGTGGAAAAGTAAGCTATTAGTATTGAGAAGAGGCCCACTCAAGAAAGACAGCTCTTGAATGAGAGAAGAAACTGGGCGTGGTTGCCTGTGCCTATAATCCAGACTTCTCCAGAGGCTGAGACACAGGAATGGCAAGTTCAAGGCTAGCCTAGAGAACATAGAAGATCCCATCTCAAAAACTAAAACTTATAAAAGGATGGGGGGAAAGGTTTTTATAAATCCAGAGTGGTGTCATTGGAATGTAAGGATTTTTGAAGAGCAACCAGCTTTCTTGGATTATAGAACCAGAAAGAAACTGAAATGCTTTCTCTTTTACTGCTACTTTTTCAGTGAACTTTTTGTTTGCTTGGTACCTGGGATTGAACCCAGGGTTGTTTTACCACTGAGCTACATCCCCACCCCTTTTTATTTTGAGAGGGGGTCTTGCAAAGTTGCTTAGGGCCTCCCAAAGTTACTGAGGCTAGCCTTGAACTTGCAGCTCTCATGCGTCAGCCTCCCAAGTCACTGGGATTTCAGGTGTGCAACCCTGTGCTTGGCTCCATGAACATACCTTGTACAAGGCCCATCAGTTGCTATTCCAGCACCTGAGTCCACATGACCCTTCTGGCTCCACTCTGCCAACAACTGCATCTTTCCTCTTGTCTTTCAGTTCAAATTACTGAAAAAGAATTACAGCCTAGTTCCATATTTTTATACAGTGTATAAATTAAACATAACCAAGTGACCAGCATGGGAGAAAGTGGTGGGGCAGGGGAGGTGTTACACAGCCATATCCATTCAGCAGGGACCTTATATGTGGCAGGAAAATTGACCTACCCCGGCCTAAATGAAACATTTGTTTTAATGAATCTGAATTAGAATAGAAGCTAGAACTTTTAAGTATACAACCTTAATTTTTGAAGTTGGTGTCAAGTGCAGAATCCATGTACCTTACAAAGCCATTGTCAAGATGAAAGTGTAAAAAGTATGGGATTGGGTTAGTATGGTGATTCCTTTCATTGAAATGGTTTGCACCTCAAATTAACTACTCTCCATGATTCCTGCAAGTCTGCTGGGTGCTGAGGCATCTGTTCTCTCTGACGTCACCAGTCCTCAGCCTGTATTTTTTACCTAATGTTTACAAATTCCAAAGCATACTAAAGCGCCCTCAACACTCAGCCCCACAGAATTTGGTCTGCTGTGGAGCTCTAAGGAACTCATTATTTTTCCAAAATAATGTATAATGTTTCTACATCTATGTGATTGTTCAAAATCAAGGGTCAGCAAACTACAGCCTATAGGCAAGTTGCCTATTTCTGCGGATAAAGTTATATGGGAACATAGCCATGGCCATTCATTAACATGTTGTATAAGGCTGCTTTTGTGTATGGTGGCAGAGTTACAAAGCCTAAAATGTTTATTGCTTGGCCCTTTAAGAAAAATTTTGCAGACCCCTCTTCTAGTTAGTTCTAGAAATGATCAGCATGTTTGGGAAAACTTTGGGTTGTTGTAAAGGTTCATAGCTGCAAAATAGTGGTACAATGTTTTCCCAGGCTATTTTTATTGTTTCTTAATTCCTTAATCACTTTAAGGATTAAATTTAGAGCCAAAAGTCACTCAGACATCTCTAAAGATTATCTTACTGGCATAAGCTAAAGCACATATTATTGTACATTCATGGACTGAAATATTAAGTAATTTGATCTAGATGATTGTTTACAGTTTAACTCAAATGTACTCAGTCTGTTCTGGTTATTTATTCAAGGATTATATTTTCTTGCTACATTCACTCAAGAATAATAGTATGTGATCATTTCCTGTGTGATCTGGAATGTGGGGACCTCTCTCCAAATGCAGCCCTCTGGTTTGTTTCCATGATGTGGAGTTGGCCTTTAGGTGATGTGATTGAGGTTTCCCAAACAGGATGTTAATTTTCACTCTTCACAGTTGGCAAAATAAAATCCTTTGTATGATTTTGAAGGCCAAAGAGCCTCATATCCTCTCACACCATCTTTAATTTATAAAATAAATGTTAACTTGGTTTCTTTGTGCATCATTTGCAACAAACTTGTATTTTTAAGGTGCTCTCCCCAACTCAGGCAAGCACACTCAGCTAAAGCAGCCTATTTGGAAACAAATGAGTTTTAGCTAAGAGTTTAATGATAAAAATACATTGCTTGCAAAAGTTCTAAGCAGCACTCTGGTGCCTCCTACACAGTTTTACCAACAAACTCTTTGCCTGAAATACAAAATCTTTAAGGCAGCCTCCACTTTCTCCCTCCAAGAGGGAAGAGGAAAGAAAGGTTGTGGCTTTTGCAATACAGAGGACCCTCCTCTTCAGTGTCCTCTCACAGGTTCCTGATTCCCACAGTACAAGTTGAAAAAACGAGAAAAGAATCTTCATGCCAAGACATGCAGCAGTTAACTCTTTTGAATGAGAAAAATGTGTGTTCATGACCACCAAACTGAGACATACAGCCATCACTGCTACTGGAAACTGGGGACTGGGTCTGAGCCAGAGCAGCTGCTCTCTGTGCCGCTCCTACTTAAGAGGAGACTAGCCTGCAGACTGGCCTGTCACAGCTTGCCCTGCCCCAGAACCCTGGACTCCCTCTCTGAAGTTTCCACTTGTTCCATCTTGTTCTACCCAGTAGACCGTCTCTGGCACCTCTTCTTTGCTAGGCATCCTGCTTTGGTGAACCCTACAACCTGCATTTTCTCCAGCGTAACACTGAAGTTTCTCCTTAACCAATCTTTCCCTGGCTTCTTCCCTCTCCCACTAAACTGTAAGACCGCCCAAATCCAAAGATCATGGTTTTTGTTTGTTTGTTTTTTGTACTAGGGATTGAACTCAGGAGCACTCAACCACTGAGTCACATCCTCAGCCCTATTTTGTATCTTTAGAGACAGGGTCTCACTGAGTTGCTTAGCGCCTTGCTTTTGCTGAGGCTGGCTTTGAACTTTCGATCCTCCTGCCTCAGCCTCCTGAGCTGTTGGGATTACAGGTGTACACCACCGAGCCCAGCAAGACCATGTATTTTTTTGTTCAACAAGACTCTTATATAAGGTTGCCAGAATTAAAATCGGGGTTACTTATTCCCCAATATGTAGTCCACCATAGGAATTCGATTGTTTTGAATGAAAGAAAAAGGGATGGGACTTCAGACTGAATGGGGCAAAAACAGCAGTGTTATAGGCAGTTGTATTTCCAACAGCCCCATGAGCAGGGATTTGCAGAGTTGAATGAAAGAAAGCCATGGAGGGTGGCCATTGACAGTGAGCCTCTGCTTTCACTTGCTGTCTTCCCACCCAACCTCTCCCAAGACTCTTTCAGGCTAAGTGCTGCAACATACAACTGATGGAGCTTTTGTTAGTCACCCAATTCTTTTAAAAATCCCTTTATTTCAGCTTTATGTCCAAAAGTCCAGGCACTTAGCTCCAGACGCCCCTGTGTAAAACATTGTCAGGAGCCTATAGAAAAACTGTACTAGTGCCCAGGGGGTTTATTTTGATTATCTAAAATTTCACTTTTTGCTCTGTGTCTGATTTCATGGGAGACTTATTTTTCTTCTAGACTCTGGATCCATGAAATCTATGCTAATTTGTGTGTGGGGGAGAATAGTATTAGCCTATTCCTTTACCATGTGTTTACTCTTCTTATTTCTTCCTTCACCTAGAAAGCTCTCCTAGTTTGTGCTCCTTACCTCAGAGAAGATGAGTGAGAGCAAGGGACAGAGAAACAAAAGTAGCTGCCCTTAAGGAAGAAAAAACAAAAACTAATGACATAGACAAAATATTTGGAAGAAAAGATAATGACAGTAGAAAAGAGAGAAAAAAAAATCTTGGAGAGAGGAAGTGAAGCCATAGGAAAATAGAAATGGCAGAGATAGTGTGGAGTCCTGTGCCCTTCCCCAGGCTCACTTGAGAAGGTCACAGTTCCAGATGTCTTTGAGGTACTTATTCCTTATCCTCAATAGAACCCCAGGAAAGTGGCAAGACCCCAGAGAAGAAATGGGTGCATAGTTGGTTCCTGCTAAAGGGAACTGAGGCAGGCAGACATGCTGTTTTACAGCCCCTTGTAAGATAAAAAATGCCTCCTTGTGACCAAGAGGATGACAGAAATAGAGGTACTCCTGGGCCTGAATGAGGTCATCAAACTGTGAAGAATGGCTCAGTAAATGCCAGTGCGGAACAGTGATCTTGAGGTCCATGTTAGTCCCTCCACTCCTCTCCCACTGCACACCTTGCATCTCATAAGCCCATTTCAGAAAGGCTTTTCCTAAATACAACCCAAGGGAAAGGAAAGGTTGAAGGCCATGAGTTCACTGAGGGTTCATTTCTAACAGTTTAAAGAAATGGAGGCTTGAAGTCAAAAGTAGTTGAAGTTCTCACATCAGCATGTGGAACTGTATCCACGGCTTGCGGTTTATTTATATTCAGGGTTGACATTTCTAATAAAGGAGCGGTGCTCAGTTAGCCACTTAAACGTCTTCTCAAAAAGTGTTCAGGTTCAAGAAACCAAGTAATGGGTATACTATCCAACATATGCCATGAAAACAGAGCCAATAAACAGGGGGAATGTTCTCTCCTGATGATAAGAGGTCTCTGTTCTCCACCCCAAAAATCAAGACAAACAATTTGCTAAGTGTGGAAACTGCATTTCAACATTAACAAATAAATAAATAAATAACCTCAAGCAAGATCCTAGCTTCACTTTTAGTATCAGTTGATCAAGAAAATAGAAAGCTAAGATATATTCAATAATGTTAAAAATCAATTTATTTTATTCATTGTAATAACATTTATGCATATTTGGAAAGTAACCCATATAGATGAGCACATATTGCACTTGATCTACTGAGAGAACACTCACATGGGTTTGCAGATCCCTTGCAGTGCCTGGAGGTCTGAGGGCCACAAGTTGGAACCTACTGGGCCAAATTATTTTAAATTGGTCTTGTTTAGAAAATCCAGCATGTATGATGGCAATGTCTTGCAGAAATCTCTCTTTTAGTATTCCAGTCTGAGGACTCTGGCAGAAGTAATAGCCTGCTGCAAAACGGATCACCCTTTTTTGTTTGCAAAGTCTTCATACCAGCTGAATCACAGCTTGCTTTGCACTTCTCGTAACACCTTGCAACATCACAAAATATTTGCTGGAGTTTGTGGAGGGCGGCTGCAGAATTAGTAAACTGAAAGGAGGCCTTCCTTCACTCCCACCCCTGTCAGCACCTTCTGTTCCAGCAGACCGAAAGGCAGCTTGAGGACTCTGATTGCTTCTCCAGAGTATGACAATTCTTGGCACTGTAGCCTGGGGCAAGGATGGAAGCAAAGGAAACATTATGGAGTTTTGCAGGTGCCAGTACAGAATATTGTCACTTTACAGAATTGAATGTATAATGACTTCATGAAGGTGAGTTGCTATGGCAACTAGCATTCTCAACTTTTATATCTGGAAGTAAGAGTGGTGTGGGCCATTTCTATTTGGACTATATATTCTGGGTTTAATGAGTAACTACCCATGCTCCAACTCCTAGGTAACCAGGCTCTTGCAATGCTGGACCAGGAAGGGACCTTAGCAACCATCTAATTTCACCTCTTAGGTTTATAGATAGGGAACTGAGATTCAGAGAAGTGACGCTTCATAACTAATATGTGTTGGTCCTGAGCCCATGTTTCCCCACTTAGTTTTCTAGTGCTCTGTTCTTTATACTGCACTGCCTTTCCGAATGAACTCACCCAACTTTCATGACTAGATAAACTGAAATGGAACCTCAGGTAGATAGAGGGTCACTGTCATTTACCAATGGTACGTTAAATCAAGTCCTTTGGATGTCCTGGTGTCTCAAGGATCTATCTATCTTCATCAGAGTAAGCCCAGATTTTACATGCAAAAAATTTTTACATATCCAGAATGATGGGCAGTACTGAGGAAATAGGAGTGACTTGCGGGGACTTGATCTAGTTTTATGGTTCCAACATATTACATAGATTAGCAATCTGCAAAGAAAGAGAATATACTCCACTTACAGTGAACGTAAAGTTAACTTCCTTCAGTGATTTATAAAATGCATCCTTTAGGTTTTTTCAAGGCCTCCTTTCATGAATCATTCTCACACAAATACATGCAAAAATACTTTGGATAAGAATTTTATCCAGTTAATAAATCACCAGCCCACAGAAAATTTAACTATTAGAAGTTTTCATAGGTTCTTGTAGAGAAGAAAGGCAGAAGTTTAGAGTATTTACTACCATTATTTCAAAAGCAAATCTAAATCCGAAATTAAAACTTAAAAAATGAAATTAAAGTGTTAATTCATTTTAAACATACACGTGAATACAAACATTTGATCCTCAAAAGTCTTAAAATGTGAAAATCATCTGGAGATTCTACTAACATGCAGATACTGTCTCAGGAGGTCTGGGACAAGAGTTTGCATTTCTAATAAGCTCTTAGGTGGTGTCAATGCCTCTGGTCCTTGGTTTATACCTTGAGTAGAAAAGGGCTAGTTTACTTGAGGCCTCCCTGGATTTGTTTTCTTTCAATGTCAACTCTGACTTTCAGATCTCTGACTACCCCAGTCACAAGAACTTTTCTGGTTAAATTTTATCCACATGGCACTTAGGTGCTGCTGTGTATCAACATGTCCTATAGGTACATATAATATCCCCAATCTGATCTTAACCCATCTGCATTTGCTCAGCCCTGTGTGTATACATAGTTGCTGAATGAAGAACTATTGATGATTGATTGATCCACTGAAAATGATTTCCTCCTTTCCCAGAATGCTCATCCATGAATTCAACTTAAAATACAAAGAAACATTGAGTCTATTCTTACTCTTACTTTCCCTCCTCTGTAAGTTGACGTTTTTTAGAAATCAGTGGCTGTGTAGAGACTACTCATTGGGTCTGTGACAAAACAACAGAGTTGTTAGGATTTCTATTTAAAGGACAAACCAGTTACTGGTTGTAGTAGGCCATCAGAGTGGAAGCACTAGATTATATTAGGAAGGACACAGCTTGGAGGCTAATAGACTTGATTCACAGCCTTAGTCTGTGGCCTACAAGTTGTATATCTTAAGAATAGTTACTTAAAATTCCTGAAACTTATTTCCTCGCCTGTAAAATGGGATACCATCTCCTGTGGTTTTTTTTTTTTTTTTTTGTAGGAACTATAGGAATGCATTATAAATTGCCTAACCTTGTGCTTAGTAAAAGACAGATGTTATAATCTCAGCAGAATCTCTCCCAAGCAGATCTGGAATTGAGTCTTTACCATTCACCCTCTGCCTTTAGAGCCCTGGAATAGCTTACATGCAGGGCATTATCGCCATCTTGTGGTGTATCACTGTCTAAGTGTCCTTATATACCTCTTTCCTTATTACCTTTGAATGGTTGTAATTCATTCATATATTTCATGCAACAGGCATTTATGAATGCCTACTGTGTGCCAGGCACTGATTTGGCTGCTGAAGCTACAACAGTTAAAAGATAAACATGGTCCTTGCCTTCAGGGAGTCATTAGGTAGGGAAGATAGAAATTAAATAATTACCCAAATAAAATTTGCATTCATCTTGTGAAAGTTATATGAAAGAGTATAGGATCCTGTGGGTATGCAATAAGGTTACCCAGGGAATTGAAGTTGAAGGAGAAAAGAGAACTTGGCCAAGAGGTCACATTGGGCATGTGCCAACAGACACCCAGCAGCATTTCTTTGGGAACATCAACCCCCATTTAGGCTCAGGATCCTGCCAGTCCACAGGAAGCTCCAATCTCAGGCCTTTTTTATCAGTCACTTAGTGTCTATAGCATTCCACTCTATGCAAGTTACTTTACATACATCATCACTGACTTTTTCATAGTATTATCCTTTTGCAGACAATAATTGGAGAAGTTAAGGAACTTGCACAAAGACATAAAATGATATATCAGAAACAGGATTAACACCTCATCTCTCTGCCTGAAAACTCCATGCTCTTTCCTCTACTCATGCTGTCTCCCTAATGCCAAGCTCTGCTCTCTTTACACTGCATGATGATGCAGAAAGGAAACCATTAGAAGTGCTCAGGGAGAACAAAAATGCAGAGAAGGAGGGGAAATATAACAATATCTCAGTGGGTCATGTGTGAAGGACAGAGAGAAACCGCTGGCATGTCTAACTAAGCTCCTCCAGTGTGGTTTTAGAAGAGTAAATTCAAGAGATCTGCTCTACCAGGAAAGCAAATATCCCTAATAATGTTCCTTATGCTCTTGTGCTTTGAAATGGGTTATAGCTGCTACTAAATTAAATGATGTGGGATCATTTGGAGAAGAGTAGTGATCCTCTTTACATCTATAGGAAGATGTAAGGATTGCTAAGCACCAAGCACCAAAGCATCACTAAGTCAGAAAATACCCACAGAACTGAAAGTTTCTTGCTACACAGGACTTTCAGCTTTAAGGTTGGGACATTCCCAGGCAAATCATGACAGTTGGTCACCATATCAATGGGCCTGACAGTGAGGCTCTGATGTACTTAGGAAGTTAGGCTAAAAAAGTATTGAAATGTGGGGTCCAGTAGAGGGCTCAGTCACAGACTATGGCAGCAAAGCTGAGACAAGGGAGGTTTAGGTCCCTCAATAAGCATCTTGGTACTCAGCATTTGGATTACCAAATCATTGTAGGCAGAAATCATTGACTCCAGGCCTGAGGGAGGACTCAGGTAGAGGACAAGTAGGGCAGAAGAGTCAGGCCAATCTGTACCTGGGCTGTAAAATAGAATGAATGACAGCACCTGTCACTAAAATAATCTGTGAGCTCTACTAGTTAATATGTGTAACATGCTTAGAGTGGTGCCTGGCCCTTAGGAATATAGGAAGTGTCACCATGGAATCCTCAGAAAGAAAAGAGGATGACCCTGGGTGGATCACATCCTCTGTAACTGTTTTCCCCATCCACAAAAGGAAAATCAAAATCCTTGACAAAGCTTTCAGAAGGGACAGAACAGGACACAACAATCAACAAGGAGAGAAATCATGGAGATAGTTAGGAACTTGTGCTCTGGAATCGAATGACCTGGGTCACAGCCAGCTCTGCCATTTAGATGTTCCTTTATTTATTTGACAAACATTTATGAGCCAGGCATTATTCTGAACACTTTACACATAGCAGCTCATTTAGTTATCATGACGCTCTTATGGAGTAGGAACTGTCATTCCACTTTACAGTCAAGGAGACAGAGGCACAGGGTGGCTATAACTTGTTCAACTCATGCAGGGAGCCAGAACCTAGGGCGACTTTGTTAACATTTCTGTTCCCCTTAAAAAAATGGGGATAATGCATTATGACATCTATCTCACAGGGTTGTTATACATATTAAATGAGCTAATCTATATAAAGTACTTAACAAAGTAAGCCCTCATACTTAGCTTAGGTAGTAGTTAGTAATGAGCATTGGAATGCAAATCAATAATGTGGAGAGGTCACGTATATTCTTTAAATTGCTTTTAAGGCTAATGAATAATAGAGAAAAAGAACAGGTGTACTAAGTCTGAGAATAAACATGGAGAAACAAAGGAAACCAATTAAGAAATACGTCAAAAAAGGAAAGATCAATAGGGCTGACTCCTGACAGGGTCTTCTGAGGTCAACGTAGGATTAGGATATATGGCCGAAGGTTTCTCAATGTATTTCAGAAAGGAAATTTCATTAGTAGCGCAGGTGCAGTAAGATGAAGTCTGCCAAGTCATTGACCCTGTCTCTTGCTTTAACATAGGACTGACTTGTAGATAAAGCCCCCTCCCCCATGAGATGAGCACCATGACAGTCCAGAAAGGACCAACTGCTGCTAATTACAAGTCTTACTAGATTTTCAAAATGTGCTTTTACCATTCCCCTCATGAAGCCCCAGGCTAGGGGACCCCATCAAAAATTTCCCCACCAGTTAAACACCTGGTTGGTGAAGACGGCAGAAGGCAGACCCCAGTTCTCCTGACAAACATCAAACAGGAATCAATTTAGAAGCAGCATTGTTTCCTTTGTTATTCTCTGCTAGGAGATGCCCCTCCCTCTCTCTCTCTCTCTCTCTCTCTCTCTCTCTCTCTCTCTCTCTCTCATGTTCTCTACTTGAGCCTTACTTTACTTTTACTCACAATAAAATTCTTTTACTTGGCTTTTTGTGTTTGACTTTAAATTTTCTTTTGTCAGGACATAAGAACCAAGGTTTGAAGCATTAGCTTCCCCGTCTCCTGTGACACTTAAACCTCAAGTAATTTACTGTTTAATTGGAGTGATAAGATATATATTCTGTAACTATCAAATATATAACT